AACTCTGTTTTTAAAAAGTTAATTTTTTTAGAGAAGTTTTAGATTCACAGTAAAATTAAGAGGAAGATACAGAGATTTCCAGTAGACCCCTTGCTCCCACCCAGTCCTAGCTTCCCCAGTATCAGTATCCCTACAATAGTGGGACGTTTGCTACAATTGATGAACCCACGCTGACACATCGTTATCACCCGAAGTCCATAGTTTACATGAGGGTTCATTCTTGGTGTTGTACATTCTGTGGGTTCGGACAAATGTGTAATGACACGTATCCATCATAGGATCATACAGAAGAGTTTCACTGCCCTATAAATCCGCCGTGCTCTACCTGGTCATTCTTCTGCCTCCCTCCCAACATCTGGCACCCAGTGGTCTTTTTACTGTCTCCATAGTTTTGCCTTTTCTAGGTCATATAGTTGGAATCATACAGTATGTTGCCTTTTCAGATTGGCTTCTTTCACTTAGCAGTGTGCATTTAAGGCTCCTCTGTGTCTCTGTGGCTTGTAGCTCATTTCTCTTTATCACTGAACATTCCGTTGCATATTTGTTCACCTATTGAAGGGCATCTTGATTGCTTTGAGTTTTGACTAAAGCTGCTATACACATCTGTGTGCAGGTTGTTGTGTGGATATAAGTTTTCAACCCCATTGGGTGAATACTGACATTTACAAGAGTCTGCTGAATGGGCCAGAATTCTTTTCATCTTGCAAAACTGAAACACTCACTGTACACATTAAACAGTAATTCCCCATTTCCCTTATCCTCAGCTCCTGGCAACCGCCATTCTACTTTCTGTCTCTGAAAGGTACCTCATATAAATGGAATCATACAGAATTTGTCTTTTTGTGATTGACTTATTTCACTTAATATAATGCCCTCAACGTTCATCCATATTGTAGCACGTGTCAGAATTTCTTTTCAAGGCTGGATAATATTCCAGTATAATACATTTTGCTTACCCAGTCACCTGTCTTTGGACACTTGGGTTGCTTCCACATTTTATCTATTGTGAATAATGCTGCTGTGAAGAGGGCTGTGCACATATTTCTTTGAGACTCTTGATTTTAATCCTTTC